ACAAAACATAATTCAGAAGAGTTTTTATTTTATTAAAAAAATATAGGAGAGCTTCAGGTCGAGATTTTTTTTATAACAATTCCGTTTCCTAGTATCGAATGATAGTGACTGCCGCTAGCTGTATATGCCATGTGACAATTTTATAATACAAAAAAGATTGTGTCCCACAACAATATCCGAGTTCAATTGTTACTAAACTAGTTATTTTAAACTAAAAACTGAGTTACTAAACCGATTTTAATAAAATTTCTCTGTAAGTATAGGGGGAAGGGATTCTCAGTAATGCGGACGTTGCTAACAGTATACCTTGTCAGGTCGACCTCTACGTGGTCTCCCTAGAAACCATCATGTTAAATTCCAGGTGTATTCATCACCTATCATCCCTCACTGGTGCCTCGCCAGCGTTTACCGTTAGCGCAGGCGGGATTACCATTCCATTATCATCCATTAAAGAACCTGTATGTATATAAAATACTATCAGATAAAAAAGAATTTTCCAAATAAGTTTAGAACTGACGACGTTGTTAGGTAACAAACAAAAAAAATACAACCGAATATGAGAACTTCCTTCTATTCAAAGTGGATTTAGAATTAAATACATTAAATATATTATTATTATTATGACTCACTTTAATTGCTATTCTTTTTTTTTACTATCATAGTTTGTAAGGAAATTGTAATAAAATAGATTAAATAGTTTTCTGAAAAATATTTATTTTTTAAATTTTTGAAAAATTCACATATCCCCTCTTAAGGAGAGGAAATGGCAAACTAACCCCCGGCAGAAGCACAGTTGGCCCGGGTTCAGGGCCCCAGGGAGAGAAACCGGCGGACAATGCGGGCAGAATCTAAAAGCACAGCTTTCTGCATCTTTCCCGGGAGTGAGCTGCCTCGAAATCCCAACCGTCTGATATGTTGTTCCAAACTGGTTGGGATAAGACCGTTCACCGACAAAACGATTGAAATGATTTCGGTGGACGCCACCCCCCACATTTCGGTCACCTCGTGAGCCAGGTCGAGATATTTTCTCTTCTTCTCGGTTTCGGCTTTCACGAGGTTCTCGTCATGCGGTATGGTGACATTCACCAAAAACACCGTCGAGAGTGCCCGATCCATCACCACGATATCAGGTTTGTTCGCAAGAACTGTCCTGTCCGTGATGATTATTATTATTAAAATGAAATGACTTCGAGCTGTTCATATTTGAGCAATCGCTATAACCTTATACCTTGTACCAAAACTAAAGTGTATGCAAATTTAAATGGCAGCTTATAATGACCGCTTTACGAGCTTTTATTTTGACGACAAACTTCTGGAACGTAGATGTTCCAAGCAAGAACATCGGCTGAAATCGACACCACTCCTTCGATCTATTAATATTTCTGAGTAACAGTTCAACTATTTTGTTCGATAAATTGCCGCTATATTGCCTATTATTGTGTATAAATCTGTATAAAAGTAAAAATTTTATTCTTTTTTTATAGAAATTTTGTATTGTTAAAATTTTTCTTCGTGTAAGTCGATTACTCACAGAGCACATCTGCGTTGTCACATACAGAGGTTTTATTAAGACCGAACAAAAATTCTTACTAAATTAAAAAAAATAATTGATATAATGTTTTTTTTTTATAGACCTTAGAGTGGCAAACAAGCTGACGGCCCACCCGATGGAAAGTGGCAACCATCACCTATAGACATAAGCAGTAACCATGGACATAACAGATTATACTGTTTTGGCCATGACACCTTCCATGCGCTGCCATTCCTGAGGACTCGGATGTTATTCCTCTGTACTCTGTAAATTCACTGTCATACCCCACTCTTCAAACTGAAACACAGCTATGCAAACACAACTGCTTTACGATTGAAACACGAATGGGACAGAGGTACCCAAGTAATCGACTTTTGTACAGTTTCCCTGTCCACTGTCTGTTTCAGCCAGTAAATTAATTTTAAAATTAGAACAATTTAGATGCCCTATAATTTTGAAAATTAGTATGAATTTTGCAGTAGATAAATCAAAATGAATCCCGACATCCATTCAATTCAATGATATCATATAATTATATTTTATTTCAGACTTTAGTGCATGTTATTAGTAACAATGTGTTGTTAGCTAATGTCGGTAAAATACATATACACATACACGCACGTGTTAGATATTTACTTTGAATTATATTAATTTTCTTAAACATCTCGTGTTAAAATGTGTACCTACATTTATTACTAAATAATAATAAAATTACAGAAAATTCACAGCTGTACAAATAATTCCTGTTAGCTGCTTATAGAGATATAAGTATTATAGTATTAAGTATTTGATCATCTTTAAATCACTACAATGGAAAATATTTATAAAAACTTCGGAAATGAGAAATAGGCCCACCTGATTAAAAGTGGTAACCGTCGCCTATAGACATGAGCAGTACCATGGACATAACAGAGTATACTGTTTCGCCCATGATAACCCTCAAGCGTTGCCATTCCTGAGGACTCAGGTGTTATTTCTCTGTACCCTGTAAATTCATGCCATATCCCACCCTTCAAACCGAAACACAGCCATGCAAACACAACTGCTTCACGGTAGAAACACGAATGGGACAGAGGTACCCAAGCATTCGACTTTTGGACAGTCTCCCTCTAGTAAACTCTGGTAGACTACACTAAAAGTAAGAGTAGCTTCATACTCACCAGTCATATAAAATCTATGTATATCCGAAATGTAAGCCGAAAAGTTACGTCAGAGACCTTCGTGTACATTGTAGACCTCTAGGTCATTTCTCGTCACCAGAGGGCAGCATCTCGTACGATTAGTAATAATTTGCGTTCACAGTAAAGCGTAGTCAATGCCACGTCTCTCTGTTTATTATGAACAGATGCAAACACGTTTCAGCCATCAATAAGACATGTGGAAATCACATATAAACTTTTATGCAAATTATAGGGTACGGAGGTGTCACACCATAGTTTTATGGGAAAGGGATTGTTAGAATTGTCTAACAGCCCCATGGATAGCAGTATACCCTATCAAGTAAACCTCCACACTGTACTCCTGGAAACCATTGTCGTTAATTATTGTGGAATTCATCACGATGGGCTAACTAACCTGAGGATCTACCATGAAATGATATTTCGAATTTTCAGACTAAATTCGAGTTTTTGATCATACCAAAGTTAGTCCGTTAAATGGAGCTTAATATTTCCTTTGTCATAAACCTACCATAAAAATCCAAATATTATTATAAGTATTTATTATGTAATTTTAACATCAAATTTGTGTTTCGTTCGGTCCCGAAATTTTAGATAACATTTCATGACAGACCTTCTGCTTTCATCCTTACCTATCATCTCTTAATGATCTTGCAAGCTTAAACTGATAGTACAGGCAGGGTTACCATTCCATTCGTAGCCATTGAAAAAAGACATCATAGTCCTCATGAATGGCAATGAATGAGAGGTTTCACGGATGTTATAAAGTATTCCTTAAAGGTAGCTCATGTCTATAGGCGACGATGACATTATACCGTTCCATCAATTATATAGCATATTGTTTTATTCCGACAAACAACGTTCTCTGTAGCTTATCAACCGACTTCAAAAAGGATGTTCTCAATTTGGTTTAGTCTTTTTTTTATTTTTTATCTTCATCACCTCATAAGTACGTCAGTAGTGGGAGGAAAGGGATTGTTAGTAATGGAGACTGAGAATCCCATTGCTAGCAATATACCCAACCAGGTCGACCTCCTCGCAGTTCTCTCTGGAAACTATCATAGTTAATTCCTGATGAATTCATCATGATGGGCTAACTGGCCTGTTTTCATTCTCATCTATCACCCTTCACTGGTGCTCCGCCAGCGTATCCCGTTAGCGCAGACGGGGTTACCATACCATTTTCACCCATAAAAAAAACTACGTCAGTAGTAAACCGATTTGGGTACTTTTTTATCTGGAAATATATACTTGCAGATTGCTCCCGTAGAAATTATATCAAAATCGGTTCAACAGTTTAGTTTTTTCCAAATAACTGATTTTACCACACTTGAAAGTCAGTTTTTTTTTTTTTTTATAGAAAACAATCTTAATTATTTAATTTGTCATGAATGGCCAGAATTTTGGGCAGCGGAGTCAAAGGCCACAGACTAAATAAAATAGAATCGTGGCATCTTAAATCTGCGCCTTTTGAACGACCATGCTTTAGCACTACACTAGCAAATGATTGAGCGATTCTTCAGCCTCAATTATATCTGTCCCATATGGGGGGGGGGGGGGGGGGATTAGGCGAAGGGATCGTTAGTAGCGGTAGTCTTATTTCTAACAATATACCCTGTCAAAACAACCTCCCCGTGGTTGATTCCAAGGGAGACTTTGGAATCAACCGTGCTGAATTCTAGGTGTATTCATCACGATGGTCTAATTGACATGCCTTTTCATTCTCACCTATGTGCAAGTTGGAAGAAAGAGATTATTAGGAATGAAGGTGGAAAAATCCCATTATTAGCCCTATAAGGTCAATGTCCCTCTGGAAACCATCGTAGTTAATAATTGTGGAATTCGTAACGACAGGCCACTGACCTGTTTCGTCTTCACCTATCATCCATCACTGTTACCCCACCAGTGTATACCCACAGCACAGGCGGAGCCATTTTTTCATTTTCACCCATTAAAAAAAACAGTAGCCAGTTAGGATGTCTGTTTACCTATATTAGATTTTTTTTTTTTATACAACTTAGAATGGCAAACAAGCTGACGGCCCACCTGATGGAAAGTGGTAACCGTCGCTTATAGACATGAGCAGTACCATGGACATAACAGAGTATACTGTTTTGTCCATGATACCCCCAATGCCATTCCTGAGGACTCAGGTGTTATTCCTCTGTACCCTGTAAATTCACGCCATATCCAACTTTCTAGGTCCACTCCCAGAATACGTACATGTTCTGTTGTACGTACGTCTTCAGTTTCCTTCCTCAATTTATCAATATGCAAATAAAACAAATACATATAGGTATTTCATCTTAATACAATAATGTAATTTAAAAGATCTCGCTTCGATATCATCTACTTTAGTAAAATTTCACGTACGCATATTTACAATTGTCACAACACATTTACACAATAATTATTCATCACAATTATAAAAAAATAATCTGAAACAAATGTTACAATCTAAAATCCATTTCATTTACGCATTACGCAGACATTTGATCAGTATAATACATTGGAAATTTACAATATTATTTACAATGTTACAATACTGCACACAATCGTGGATTTTTTATTTTTTATAAATAAACTTGTCACCAATAATATTACAAAATCATTGTCACTGCACGATTATCGCGTGTCGTGCTTGACACGACGCCTGAAAGAGTATCCGCAGAGACCGAATGTAACAATACAAATAACCTAAATTTATTATTGCTTAGCCAATCGGCGCTTTTATAATTTAACGTATTACGTGGCACGACATTATTTACACGATTTGCACGATTTTACTGTCACGACAATGTATGCAATTTAAATATTGTGATTTTTTTAATTATGTATGTAAATTCAAGAATTTAATTAAAAGCCGTCTGCTTGGATACCTCTGTCCACTTGTATTTCCGCCGTGAAGCAGCTGCGCTTGTATGGCTGTGTTTCGGTTAGAAGGATGTATGGAGACTTAACATCTTAGCCCTCAGTAACAGCAACGCATAAGGGGTACCATGGGCATGATAGTGTATTCTGGTAATGTCCATGGTGCTGTTCGAGTCTATAAGCGACGGCTTTTTTTTAATGGATGATAATGGAACGGTAACCCCTCCTGGGCTATCGGTATACGGTGGCGTGGCACCAGTGAGGGACGATAGCTGAGAATGAAAAAGGTTAGCCCATCGTAATAAATACACTTGGAATTTAACACGCTGGTTTCCAAGGAGGACCACGGGGAGGTCGACCTGATTGGATATATTGTTAGCAATGGGACTGGTAGTTCGAATTAGCTGTCATACTTAACACTTTCTTTAAAAAACAGCTTTCATTTCTGCGCATTTGCCATTCTAAGTGTCATAAAAAATTCTCTTATAACGTCACGACAATAAAATCGTACAATATCGTGCCGTGCTACGGTCAATTATAAAATGAGCCAATACTTACAAACAAACCACTAACACCATTACATTGTTTTGTTAGATTTTGTCACTGCAGACACGCGCTAAGAATGCACTTTGCACATTATAAACAATGTCATACCCTTAGATTATACATACAGAGTGTCTCCATACAAATGTTTCGAGAAAAGCGGCTCAACTTTTTCATACAATTTTGCGTGATATATAGTCACGAGTGTTTTCTTTACAACTTCTATATTTATTATGTCTTATAATTTTTGCATCTTTTTAATGCATAATAACTCATTTTATTTATTAAATAATTAAATATAGAGACGTCAAAATACATTGTGTGCGTAAGTATATAGAACACTGATAAAAAATAGAGTTGGCTAATTTGACTATTAACTGACAAAAAGTTGACCCGTTTTCGAGACTAGCTGCTCTATCTATATATATAAACTAAGGTGACACGACATGATGACAATAATACACAACTTAATTTGAAAAGAGCAATAAAAAATTTTAACTACTCTGAAATTACCACAAATATTTACATAAAATATGTAACTTTGTAACTCGGTTAAATTAATATTTGTTGACATTTACATTTCATAAAAAAAAAAGTTCAACGCTTTTGTCAGACATTTAAAATAAAAAAAAAATACATTTAAAAAATTAAGGCCCATTTATATCTACGGACATTGAGCATCTCAGACGGGTAACAGACATACTCTAAACGCCGGTCTCACTCATTTTTAATCCTTAATATTATAGACATAACAAAATATGTCTATGGTTCTGTTTATGTCTACGAGACGAATACGATTTTTTCCCATAACGTAAGCCGTCAGCTTGTGTACCATAGTCATTAAATAATTATGAATTAAAAAATTTTTATTTTATTTTCTAAAGCTACTCTGTCAGCCATTGCTGCTTTTGAATAGACAGTGATTGTACGACGCGATTCCTAAACGCTCAATATCTGTAGATATAAACGTGCCTTTATTACAACGCGAATTCTTATTTAATATTGCCGTTTGCCACATATGGAAAATAAAAAAAAAAACAAGGCGCGCGATAAATTCGACCAATAGGAATGTACCATTTGACATCGCGGCAAATTCAACACTGCATTTACAGTTTCACAATTAAATTGTTCATATATTTCATGAAATAAATTATCATAACCAATAATTGATAAAGAACTTGACTAGAGATGACGCTCAAAAACAAGCTGTTTGAAAGGGAATGTTCACAATTGTTTTGTTAGAAATTGTTTGTAAATTATTCTGTTTTGTGTGTACAGTGTACAGTCCGTTTCTGTTTACTTGCACTATAGAATAGTCCAACTTTACATGTTTTTTACCATAGACAATACTATACTTGCTCTCAATTCTATTTTTTTTTGTGTATATGTCACGCAATATCTTAGTCAATTCAAAATAGCGTATTACTGATATAGATGATCATTTTTATAATCAAATGGATTTTTAGTTTTGATCTGTTTACAAAATTCTCTTTGATTTAATTTTATTTTTAAATTACTTTTTACCCGTGAGTTCGTTCACGTGAACGGGATATGTTAACCTACTGGGATAAAAAGTAGCTTATGTGCTTCCCAATCCCATATAGTACGTGTATACCAATTAGTGATTGGTTAAAGCATTAAGACGTAACAAACAAACAAACTCACTTTTACATTTATATTAGGATTGGATATAAGCTACTTTTTACCTGGTCAGTAAACACATTCTAGTCACGCGGACAATTTCGCAGGTAAAAGCTAGCAGACTTTTAAAGCATGGCAATAACTGGCAAAACCTCCCAATAGGGGGAGGCCTATGTTCAGCAGTGGGCAGTTAACGGCTGATAGGATAGTGACATTAATGACTGCATTTGCAAGTTTTAATAATAACATAGATAAAAAAATATTTTATTTTCCAGTATAGATCGCTCTTAGCGATAAGGTCGCCCATTGTTTTCTCATTGCGATTATTTCTTGTAAATATTTATATTTATAATAAGTTTACTATTGTAATCTTTTGGAGGAAACAATAAAGAGTATCTATCTATCTATAAAGATTAACCAATGGTGAATTGTCTTGACATGGTCCTATTAAATACAGGACAATTGGGGACAAGATTGCTCGGTATAGAGGCGGAAGACTGATAGGAAAACTTTATTAGACTGTAATAATGCGAGGCTGATAAGTTCGCGACCTAAAGTACTTGGCAATGTCTCATCATCACACTAGTGATAATACTAATTGGGTGACTCCTTGTAAGTATAAAAAAATATCCCATTTTTGTATTTAGTTCATTAGTTCGGTTTCAGAGATGCTTTCTCCCACGAACACTCAGGTTATGGAATGAGCTCCCTGCCGAGGTATTCCCAAGAGACTACAGCATGGGGTTTTTCAAATGGGGGGTAAAGAGGTTTCTTCAGGGTCGGCAACGCGCGCGTAATACCTCTGGTATTGCAGGCGTTCATAGGCTACGGTAACCGCTTATCATCAATTGGGCGGTATGCTTGTTTGCCACCTCAGTGGTATAAAAAAAAATTTTGTTCATTAACATTCAATCCCTGGAACACTCAACAACACCATGTCAGAAGAAACTAGAAATTCTAGCAATTTGAAACACTGCGCTGTAATGAAACTCCTTGTTAAAAAAGGAAGTACCCCAAAATAATTTTTTGAGGAAATGTCATCGGGTCTTCAGGATTAGACACCTTCATATACGGTAGTAAAAAAATGGACTCGGTTATTTCAACGAGGAAAAAAGACGTGTGAAGACGACCTTTGCCTTGGATGCCCATTAACTAGAGCGACCGAAGTATAGATTAAAAAAGTCGAACAAATAGTACTGGCCAATCGAAAAATTAAACTGTGCCAGATAACAGAAGAACTACAGATTAGTAAGGAACGAATTGGAGACATTCTACATGGAAAAAAAATTGTGAGCATTGGGTACCATGAATGCTCACATCGCTCGACAAGCAACGACGATTGAAAAGTTGTAATTTTTTGAGAATTATATCAGAGTGATTTGGACGAAATTTGTAACCGTATTGTCACCGTTAAAGAGATCTGGATTCGTCAGTATGATCCAAAGTCTAATCAAGAGTCGACGCAGTGGATAAAAAGGGAGAAAGGACACTAAAGAAGTTTAAAGTGGAAAAGTCGGGTTCAAAGCTAGACAAGTTCAAAGACAGCGAGGGAATTATGTTAATTGATTACTTACTTAAAGGGATGTGGGAAAAATATAAAACAATATATTTTCACTCATTATGCACCTGAGGCTGCGAACCAACCAACCTCCCCTCGTAAATTAACGTTGGGTTTATCTAATCAATAATACCTTCATGCCGGATCTCTTGTGGTATAGACAGAGACCGATATGTCAAAGATAATGCATTTATGATCTGACTAGAACCACCATAGAATTACAAGCAATATTTTTGGGATTGGGATTTCAACAATTGTTTTGGGAAAAGGTTATCTCATAAATGGAGTAAAATGAATTCATATTGTAATGCCATATGCACTTTTGTTATGTACATGAAAATTAAATAAATAAATAAATTTCATATCGTTCATCTATACATTTTTTATAATTAAATTATTAATGGGCAAGTTATTTCATGGACAGAGTGAAAATAGCATTTTAATACTTATCAATGATATATGAGAAAACTCTTCATGGTTTTAGTGTAATATTTTCAAATTTGGCCACTTTTTTTCTTAATCGATATATTATATCTTTTTTTACAGGTCAAAATTATATGATTTTATTTTATATAATTATATGTTATTACATATATATATATAAACGTGTAAACGTGGTGTAAAGGACAGGTTGGCAAAAACTAAAACAGTGAATTCTGACCATTATTCGGAACTGAAAACCAGTCAAAATTCTTTCTGGAACATTCCAAATACATTCTCCAGTATGATAAAGAAATTTTCACTCTATTACTTAATTACTTTGTGTTTTAATTGTAAACATTCATTCACAACACAATGTTCACGATAAAATGAAAATGTAAAAAAAAATAACTATAAAAAATCCATTCGCATGTCACTGTAATAGTTCATCTTGTCAAATTCTCTAAAACAATGGTATTTATAGTAAACATAAAAATTTTATAAATAATTATCAAGTAATTATTGTCATCATATGAACTTTGTGAAAATAAACCATACCTTACAGTAATCTACAAGGACACAAACAAAAATCAGTGCTGTGAAACTTCATAGGTTTCAATTTTATAGATCATGATAAATTCATCGGATCAATACAACACTATCAAAATAAGAATAGGAATTACATTCCGCCATATTGTGCGCGCTTACACTGTCAGTATAAAATTAATTAAATAATGAAGAGAATGCACTTTCTACATTAACGCAATTAGCGACACTTTTTAAAAATATACCAATATCGTTGGCATAAAATGTAATCCATAAATAATAAATAAATAAAATATTAAAAAATATAATTATTATGGCATGGTAAGGTGAATCCGTTTGCCTGTGGTCACAGCAAAGAATGCGCCACCTCTTCCTTTCACATGAATGCCGTAAGAGGTGACTAAGGAAACTTAATAAAAAAAAGTCGAAGGGCAGCAGTCTCCCTTTTAAAATATTACCAAAGCCTTTGCCAGGTTGCCAGATTGCCAAGCCTAACAACTACTGGTAATGCCTCCATACTGCCATATCCATAATAAATTAGAATGCTCAGTCACTATGTTTCAAATAGAGTTTAGTGTAAAAAAAAAAAGAAAATAAATAAATAAAATATTAAAAATATAAGCTCAATAAAATAATGTACATTATACGAAAAAGTATGCATTCTAAATAATATGGTAAACTAATGCATACCATTCAAGTGACAGTTGACATTGACAGTCCTATTCTTGATTTGACAGCACTGTATCGAAGGTCATGCACACTCTAGCATCTGTACTAAAGGCCGGTACACGCACTCCGCCATTGGTCACTGGTCCGGTCGCCGCAGACCGCTCACAAACCTCACTCTCACTGTACAGTCGGTGCCTTATGAGGCACGTCTCTTTAACGTCACTTTACCGCGCGCTAACTGAGATATGTATATTCGAAACCGCTCGAGGTTTTGTTTCTTCACCCAGATCTGTAAACGAAATTGTTTCAATGAGTTATTGTGTAAAGATGAACTACTAAAAATTAAGGTACAATTCAACAGAGTTCTGAACTATTTTCAGTACAAAGTAATAATAATAATGCCACCTATTGCCTTGTCGTAAAGTTATTATGAGTTATGAAAAACGAACATCTGGAAGCAAAACCCACAACACTCATTCTTGAGTTAACTTTAAATGTAATAAAGGAAGCGATCCTACCGGGAATCAAAACCGGTATCTAAATGGCGCAAAACCACCTGCTAACCACGTTGGGGGTCTAAAAATATTAAAAAAAAAATAGTTAATACATGTGATTAAAAAGAACAACTCTTCACTACCCTAAGGAGGAGGCTAACATTCACTAGTAGATAGTTAAAAGCTAATACGATGTTGATGATGACATGCATTTAAACAGTTATAGTCCAAATAGAAGGGGGGAAGGGAATGTTAGTAATGGAGACTGAGAATCCCATTGCTAGCAATATACCCAAACAGGTCGACCTCCTCGCGGTTCCTCCTGGAAACTATCATGGTTAATTCCTGATGAATTAATCATGATGGGCTAACTGGCCTGTTCCTATTCTCATCTATCACCCTTCATTGGTGCTCCGCCAGCGTATCCCGTTAGCGCAGGCGGAGTTACCATATCATTTTCACCCATCAAAAAACAAAAAGTTCAAATAGGAACACATGATCCTAGGAGCAAATTACAACGAATGTTGCTCTCACCGCCTCGTCAGTGATAGCGTGTATCTGTCCGGGGAAGCGCGCCACCTCGCGGCCCTCGACGTAGACGCTCTGCCCGCGGTGGAACCAGCGCCGCTCGTACAACAACTTGCCGTCCTCCACGCGCGTCTCCGATGTATCGCTACTCTCGCGAACTGGCGATTCACCTGTTAAATACATTCTTGTATTACGAAGAGCAGCAAATAAAATTGTTTAAACCAGTGCGAGTGGTTGCAAATAATCGACTCTAAACCTGTTTTTGCCCCAATAATTAGGCAAGCAGAATATCGAGTAATAAATTAAAGTATTACATCAAGTATTTTACTGAACTAGATGTTACTTTGCAATAGTCCATATCACTGGTTAGTTGATTAAAATTAGTTTAGGAACTTTTTTGTGAATAGCAACATACCTATCACTGTGGGGAAAGGGAAAGGGTAAAAACGATATATCCTATCAGGTCGACCTCCACTCAGCTCCCCCTGGAAACCATCGTTAATAATCGTTGTATTTGTCAGGACGGACCAATTGACCCTTTTTATTCTAACCTATAATTGACAACTGGTGCCCTGTCAAAGTATACCGATAACGCAGGCAGGGTTACGATACGATAGCCCGATCCTCTCATTGTGGGTCAAAATTATTATAGGGGCCATAAAATGATTTTTGTATTTTTTTTTTTCTACTAACATAGTTTAAGTCAATTGTTACTAACAAAAATGGATCTTTGTAATCTATAATAAAGAAATATTATTATTATTTCATTTTCACCCATTAAAATACTAATGACTGCGCCATAGGAATTGTTAATTTACTTGTAAGATTTTATTGCATGTATATTCATTTAAATTCGTGTTTCAACTGTGAAGCAGTTGTGTTTGCATGGCTGTGTTTTGGTTTGAAGGGTGGGATATGGCGTGAATTTACTGGGTACAGAGGAATAACGATTTACAATTAACCATAGTCATAAAAACCAAGACCATTCTGTCTGTGTACAACTGAAGATAGAATATCGTGGTTAATTCTAGTGGAATTTGTCACGATGGGCTAACGAACCTGCTTTCACTATCACCCATCACTGGTGCCCCGCCAGCGTATACCGATAGTGCAGGCGGGGTTACCATTCCATTATCACCCATTAAAAATAAACTGAAGATAGAAAGAATAACTTGACTTTGTACTCCCCTATCACCATTAACCGCAGCCCCACCAGCATGAACCAACAGCACAAGAGTTACTATTAATTTTTATCAATTAAAAAGATTCATACAACTGCTAGAGTTGAGATGCTTCCTGGGTGCCGCGGAGTTGTGCGAGGGGGTATGATGCCTGGGCGGTGGCGAGTGCCTCGATATCGCGCGGAGGTCTGCATCGATGTCCTTGTCGTCCAGCTGGAAGGTGAGCGTCGTGGTGAGGGGTTTCCGCCGCTTCTCCGGCGCTGGGGCGGGCTCATTCGCACGCCGCCGCAATATACGCTTCATGACGGGCTTTACCTGTATTCAAAGGTTTTTTTTTTTAAAATACTACACAATATAGAGTATTATATTGTATTGTATCTGGCCTTAACTGTCCACTGCTGGGGGGAAAGGGATAGTTAGCAATGGAGTTTGATAGCCCCATTGCTAGCAATATGCCTTATTAGGTTGACCTCCACGTGGTTCCCCCTGGAAACCATCGTGAACAATTCATGTTGAATTCGTCACAATGGGCTAACTGACCTGCTTCATCCTCACCTATCATCTTTCACTGGTGCCCCGCCGGTGTATACCAATAGCGCGGGTATGCGTAGTATGGTATGGTATACATAGGTAGTTTTGCGTAATATGGTATTGCGCAAAACTACCTATGTATACCAATAGGTAGTTTTGCGCAATACCATTCCAAAATGATCCATTAAAAAAAAACTGTCCACTGCTGAACAAAGTCTATAAATAGTTGCCGCGCTTGGCAAGCAGGTTGGGACCAACAGTTAAGACTTTAATAGGACATCCCTCAATCATTAAGTTTCTTTAGTCGCCCCTTAAGACACCCACGGGAAAGACAGACGTAACCCATTTTATGCCGGGACCACAGGACGAAATACATTATCATGGTAAGTATCTCCTTCATAATATATGTAAGATTTATTTATATGTGATTACAGTTAAAAAACTCACCTCCATAGAATCTCCATTCAGTTCCATATTCTGTCGTTCATTCTCAATCAATCTGCGCTTGTCTTCAAAGTCATTTAGCAGGTTCTCCCTTAATTCTATTTTCTTCTCCTCAAACTCTTTTGCTGCTGCTTTCTTCTCTGCTATATACTCCCTTTCTACCACATCATACATGTGATCTCTGTAAAGAAATCATTTGTTTAATATTTGCACTTATCGGAACAATTTAAAAAATATATTTTATACAATTGTTATGTTAGTTATGGCTAAGGGGTTCTGAAATGGTTATCATAATTAAATAAAAAAATATATATAACATAGATATATTCTAAAAAACACTAAAAATCAAAAAGAAATTTGGACATGTCTCGACAAAATCTCAAAAAATAATAATTGGGAGAAGGGTAGGAAGTAGACAATAATGATATATATATATATTCTTTATTGCACTTAATACATGCGATGATTAGTTTAACAACTTGTTAGCAAGGGAGGACTTATCTCTGAAAGAGATCTCTTCCAGCCAACCCAGTGTAGTTAGAGAGAAAATAATTTAATTTGGATAATCCAGTGCAGGAAAGCTACCGGTGAAAATAATGTAAATACAACAAACACAAATTGTGAATAAATATATAAATAAATAAATACGTAAATAAGTAAATAGATAAATGCTTGTGCTAAATGACTTTTCAATAAAAGACAATAAAAGAAAGACACATGAATTTAAACTCATGTAAATCATAATAATAAGAAACAATACAAGAATAATTTAAGAAAGAAGTAAAGTCAATTACCTCTTTCAAGAAAAGGTTGAAGTTACATTTTCTTTCCTTTGAGTCATAATCTTAATTTATTTATTTTTATAATTGAACTGTCAAACTTTAAAATCATTGAACTAAATTTCTATTCTAGGTAGTATATTCATTTATTTTAACATCCACTGTATAAGTAGGTAGATATTATATTTATTTATAGTATATGTATTTATGTAATATTTTATTATGTATCTTAATATTTTATTTAACTGTATATTTGTTTATGTACACTAAATATTAATAGTTGTAGCACTTCAGCTGCCCGCTAGCAACATGTTTTCTAACTGCATTGGGTTGACTGGAAGAGATCTCTGTCAGAGATAAGTCCACCCTTGCTCACAATATTTATAAATGCATTAACATTGTAATTTACAAGTACAATAAAGAATATATATATTAAAGTCAAATACATATATGAACTTACTTATATATTCTATTGAGCCGTAACCTCTCATGCAACTGGTGTTCCAATCTCTTGACCCTCCTTAGAAACTCCGGGTGAATTTCTTCCTGAAGTTGCTGTAGCTGTTTGTTCAGGGAGGCCAATTTGGCTTGGTACATCCTGGAAGATTATTTACAAATTTATTTACATAAAAGGACAGAGAATAAAATTTAATGTATGGTACATTGATGGTAGTCTATCACTAAAATTAGTGAATTTTAAAATACATTTAGAGAAAAACCTATCAGAATTAGCTATAGATAGATAGATTTAAATAGATAATGCAACTACATACTTTTATAGTACAATGTTGACTCAGTTGCAAATCCTACATAAAATTTCTAAAAAATGTCATGTAATTTAAAAAAAAAGGAACTTATCAATTCCTCCTTCCTTCCTTATATTTTAGTAAATAATATTACAAGCAGTATTTTCAAAAATGGAGAAAATTCTGAAGTGCTATTAAAATTTACCAGAGGAAGAATTTGTACAAAAGTTGATTGCTTGAGTACCTCTGTCCCATTCGTGTTTCTATCGTGAAGCAGTTGTGTTTGCATGGCTGTGTTTCGGTTTGAAGGGTGGGATATGGTGTGAATTTACAGGGTACAGAGGAATAACATCTGAGTCCTCAGGAATGGACGGAGCAATGCATGGGGGGTATCATGAGGGAAACAGTATACTCTGTTATGTCCATGGTACTGCTCATGTCTATAGGCAACGGTTACCACTTTGCATCAGGTGGGCCATTAGGTTGTTTGCCATTCTAAGTTGTATAAAATAAAAAAATTAAAAAAAAATTTAATTTAATATCACATTGAAATCTATATTCTAATGGCCATATTATATAATTGTATGTGTATTAGAAATAATTTAATATAAACTATTTCTAATTCACATACAATTAAGTCAAAATTATTATAAATACAGTTAATGATCCTTAAAACAGTCATTTTGCAAAGCTATTACATTAAAATCTTAAGAGACAAATTTAAAGAACTGGTGCCTCAGAGTCAAGCCAATACCTAGTCCGAATAGAGGCTTGCCATAAATAGGTATTACAATATATTCAATTTGATATAAAAAAAAAGTAAGTAATTAAAGTAACGACTAAATCTTAATGAAACTTACTGTTCTTTGATTTCAAGTGGTTCATCATTCTTGGGTACATCTGTTTCACTAGCCTCTTCTGTGTCTGGAAAGCAAGTAGATGAATAGTTATTTAATCAGAATTATTTTACATATATGTTGATATTGACAGGAATAAAAAATAAGCTCTATCCTTCTTCATCCTATATCACTTATCAGTTTGTGTAAACCAATTAGTGTGATTAGTTAAGCCATTAAGGCACTACAAAAAAAATTACCTTCATATTTATAATATTAATAGGGATTATGAAACTAAGATGTATTAATGGGGCAAATGGGATTATTAGTAATATAAATTAAGAATTTCATTGCTATCAATACACTCTGTTATGTACACATCAATTTTAGAAACAATAGTTTTCATGTGGTTTCACCACCAACCTAGTGAATTTGCCATGATGAGCCAACTGACCTGACTTCTACTTGATGTATTATTCCTTCTTGGTACCCCACAAACGTAAACCAATTGTGCAGGCAGGGTTACCATTTCATTACCATTCATTTAAAAAAAAAAAGTATAAATATCCAAAGCTTTTTTAAATACTACATGCTCTATACTGTTTTCAAAATCGTATTAAATGGTTTCATGGCAATTTTGCGGTGAAAGTGACTACAAACAAACTCATTACGTCATCCAATCAGGTGATAATGAAATAGGCGGGAAGACAATGTCTAGATCAGCGCTAACAACCATTATAACCTAACAATAATTGCATAACGTTTATTTACAAACGACGAGGGACTTGACTATTCACGAAAAACAGGTTTTAGTGAAAATGACCGAAATTCAAACCTCAAACAGGCATAAAACCACAATCGTAAACAAAACATACCCTCATCACTGTCGTCCAACGGCGGTGGTGGTAAGGCGTCTTCCTGATCCCTATATTCGTCCAAGTCGTCGTACCCGTCATCCTCGAAGTCATATTCATCTCCCGGGCCCGAATATGGTGATCCTTGGTAAGACATAGTCGAGGCGACGCGTAACAGTTGCATACAGATTGACTATGATCACCGTCTCAGAAACAAACTCTGGACACGCGGACGATAGTTAATTATCCAAACAACTAGTAAAATGTACCAGTTGTGTCACCCGTAAAAAGAAATTCATATAAAAACTAATAAGACAGAACAACGAAATTGGAACAAATTGAAGTTGTTTTACGTCAAACTGCACAAAAAAGCATCATATTATGACACTAAATCGTGAAAAAATTTGTTATATAGCACTGACGCTTAACGTCAATACATAATGAACATGTATGAAAGAGAAAACATATACTTTTAGTAGTCCACCTCACTTTATAGGGATATAATCATAGACAAATTACTTTTTTTATTGAGTTTCTTATTATAATTATATTATATAGAATCGATTTAAATCGAATGCTTTAAATGAATTTAAATATATATATTTATTTATTAATATATATAGTGACCATTACGGGCTATATATCTACGCATCTCCATAATAGCAACAGTATATAAACGAAAATTATGATAATTGAACTGAACTAAATGTAACGTCAGAGGTATCCTTCTCTAAAAATCTATCCGATTCTAGATTAAGGACATATGGATATGCGACCCTGGCCTTTCGAGCCGCTGCAGTGTCCCAGTCCTTTCCGCAACTATAAGGTATCCCCCCCCCTTTTCCCAGATAAGTCCTTTATTCCTCTTATTTACCAATTTCTTTCACGCATTTCCAACGTTCTCTTCCTTTTTTCCTCAATCCTTTCCTTCATAGCGTACGTGGCGAAAACCACCAGTAAATGCATTCCTAAAGAGTAAGTAAAACTAGAAACCAAATCCGTTTGTAATATGGATAAAAAAAAACATATTACGCCGCCCCCAAATATTAATTGGGATAAAGATAAGAAGATGATGATAATGTACTGAACTAAATGTAACCACAATAAAACGAGATATCATGCGTTTTGAAATAAAATTGTTGAATAAACTATTCTAAATAAACTATTGCAATTAATACACAAATTATTAGAATGGATCTTCTTGATTGTATAAGTACACATCGATAAGGGGATATCGATGTTCGATCCAATAGAATCGAATTAACCTAATCGAGTTAGATGTGCGATATTAATCAAAAAGTTTACCTTTATTGTCTATTATTATGATTTTACGTCATGTTAGTGGACGTCATCTTGAATGAGAAATTTATTTTATTATTTATTTTTCTAAATTAAACACGTTATCGTGAAGTTGTATTGTGTTACTATCATTATAATACTAAATTTAAATAACAGTCTTTGTGTTTTTCCTTGTATCAATGATAACGGTACTATAGTGAACGTGACGCTATACGCTTTTGTGTCGGTGATGTAATTTAAGTGATTGGGTGGCTTCCTAGTCCTAGCACTATAATGGAGGAATCCTCATTCACAATCCCAGCCGACGACAATGGTGATTCTGAGCTCGACCCTAGAATACAGGTCAGTGAGTGACAGTGTATTGAAATAATAATAATAATGTATTGAAATATCAGTTAACGAATGCCTTTGTAATTGCAAAGATGAGTGTCAACTTTGTAGATTATTTCTCCAACGAGCATAATGGATACGATATATTATATCAAAACATGAAATACGGACTCATTGCCAGCAAAGAACTCTCAGAGTACTTTAGAGAGAGGTCCAATATTGAAGAAACAAATTCTAAATTATTAAGTAAATTAGCTAAGCAAGCGAATAGCAACTGTGCACAGGGTACATTCGCGCCATTCTGGGGCGTTCTCAAATGCTCTGCAGAGAAACTGTCTAATTTACATCAGCATATGTTCCAGAAAGTGAGTGAACTTGTGAAAGATGTTGCTCGATATGCTGATGAACTGCACAAAAAGCATAAAGCAGTTAAAGACTCTGAATCGAATACATTAGAAGTAGTCCTGCTTATTCAGAGCACTAAACAGGCTCTTCAAAAGGCTAAAGATGTATATACAACTAAAGCTGCCGAATTGGAAAAACTCAAAAAAGATAATGCCTCCGCCAAGGACACTGAGAAGGCAGAAGTAAAATTGAAGAAACTACATGAGGAATATAGACAACTAGCTGAGAAGTATAATTTAGTAAAGCAGGATTTTGAAAAGAAAATGACACAAACATGTAAACATTTTCAGGATGTAGAAGAAGCACATTTGAAGCAAATGAAACAATTTGTGAATGCTTATGCTGACATTATACAGAATAACCATGACCTTATGGGTCAAGTTCACAGAGACTTTAAACATCAGTGTCTTGAGTTAACTGTAGAAAGATTATTAGAACAGTTTCTTATAGAGAAATACAATGCAATAGAGAAGGCCAATTTAGTTGAACTACCTCCCTCATTACCTAAACCAGGCTCTGCCAACAATTCAATATCAGAAGCAGATCAAATCTCAACTGTATCTAATGGCTCACACAAGCCAGCGCAACCAGCTAAAGCAGCCAAAAAGGAACCAACATTTGCTAGTAAAACCTCTCGGAGAACAACATCCCTTTTAAATTTATTCACTCCTAATTTTCAAAGTAAAGATGAACCTAGTGGTAGTATAGAAGGAGCTGCCCCTTGCTCTGCTCCTTCCAGCCCAAGTGGTACACCAGCTACTCCTGTAGCACCTGACAAAGATGAAAACATGGGTCGTACAACATTACGAGAATCAAAATGGTTCCGAAAAACAAAAACCAAATTGAAAAAATCAAAGAAAAAGAAAGATGAGATAACTGAGAATTCGAATGTAGGGGACAAGTCTGATTTAGATGAAAAAGAAGAGGAAGTTCCAGTTAAAGAAGACTTAAATTCCCCAGAAGTTGATGAAGAAGGTTACTGTATCAGACCAAAAGATGAGAAAGGTAGTGTTTATTCATCAAGTGATTCTGATTCAGATGAAGATAGAGACCGTAAGATTCATGTGGAAATAAAACCAATAAGTAATGGTGGCGGTCCGATGTCTGCCAGTGTGGATGAGCTCAGAGCTACTGTAGAAAATATTTCTCTTTACAAAATTGGTACAACAAGGCGTGGTTCTAATGCAAATACCAGTAAAGCTAGTAGTGATTTATTAGATCTCAACTTCTTCCAAAGTCCCACAGCTAGCAATCCTACCTCACCACATGGAACTGTGTCAAATCCATATGCTCCATTGCAGGCTAATCAATCGCATCTGCTTGAAAGTCCGACTCCAGTTTCGACCGCCGATGTCGGCGACCTATTCTCCGAAGTCGGAGAAATGAGTCAATCGAATTTTCGTACGTCTACGCCCACAACAACTACTATTTCGCTTCCGCGACCACCATCGAGACGCTCCGAAGGTGATTTCCGAACTGCCGGCTCCTCAGGTTCTAGAGGCCCTTCTCCTCTTACTATAGGTATGGCTGATACAATACCTTTGGCAGTCGCTTTTCACGAAATCATACACGCGTATTTTCGGGGTACAGAGGAGTCTAAATGTCAAGTGAAGATGTCAGGCGACATGATGCTGTCCTTTCCCACCGGTATCGTAGGCGTACTAGCTAACAATCCCAATCCAGCGAAACTTTGTTTCCGGCTGAAAAATATACATAGATTAGATAACGTGTTACCGAATAAACAGCTGATTAGTATCAATGCAATGATGTCTACGCGCGATACGACTGTCGTCGAATTTAATATGCCGGCGTTAACTTCTCTTTTGAAACGTCAATCGGAGAAGAATCCCACCGCTCAGTACTTCAATGTGGACATACTGAAGTACCAGATACGGCCAAAGGCCGGCGCTGCGTCATGTCCCTACCAATTGGTGTCTTACTGGAAGTGTGAGAGGGATCACACAGATCTTAAAGTGGATTATAAGTACAATCTACACGCCATGAGCCCCCCGTCACCGTTGCTGAACGTGTCTGTCTGTGTGCCAATGAATGGTGCCGTCAAGAATGTCATTGCGATGCCAAAAAACACTTGGAACCCCGAGAACGAGCAAGCTCTGTGGCGTTTTACGGAACTATCGCAGCATTCTGAGGACAGAGGGGTGGGCTCGCTGAGGGCACGCTTTGAATTAAACGAAGGTCCCTCGACGAAAGGAACGATATCGGCACAGTTCAACTGCGAGGGCGCCACTCTCTCTGGCATTGAGTTTGAGCTTATAGGCAGCGGGTATAGACTATCTCTTGTGAAACGTCGTTTTGTCTCTGGTAAATATATTTGTGATAGTGAGGTGCACTGATTGGTCCAAATCAAATCTAAAATTCACGTGTAGATATTTCGTTAATATCTTCAATGTATGAAGTAGTACACATTTATAAGTGTATAGGCATATTTGGTACCATATAGGACTGTTTCCTGTTCACGGAATTAAGTTAATGCAACTAAGTTTGTCAATTTTCTTATTATTAGTAATATAAAATGTTATAATAAATTTAATGTTGCTAGAAATATATTCACAGCATTACTGACTTATTTTTCAGATTAGAGATGTGCCATGTTTAAAGTTTTAAATGAAATAATCACAATTTTTTTTATGTTTAGCGCGAGCAATTCTGTGTGTTGACATATTTTTTATTTAAAAAGTAATTTAAATTTAACATCACATTTAGATGATAGCATTTTTGTAAAATGTATTATGTAGACCTATCTCACGTGGTACTTTTCGTTTTGAATTAAGAATTTGGTAGTAGGTTTATAATATTCACAAAATATACATATTTCATTTTTGTATTTAGCAAATTTGCAATTTTATTTAATTCATATCTTTCTCAATTTTTTTTTTAATGTTATTAGTTTTACCTTCAAATAATGGCAGTAATTGCTGATATATGGGTCTCATATTATGTTAATGGCATCATACATCAACTAATTTTATATTATGACTTTAGCTTGTAGTTTTATTGATAATTCTATATTGGGCCTAAAATTGCAATAAATATATCCTACTCCTACTGAAGGCCACAGTTAATGATGGTTACCATTACTGGTTGCTGTCAATTCTATACAACACCGTATGGTTTAATGGAATCTCTTGTAACATCTATTCTTATAACTTAATTTGGTATGTATTACACTATGTTGATAGGATATGTAGTTTATGTTGTATTCAGTTAGCATTTAGTGGTTAACCACCATTAATTTTTTTTACAAAAACAGTGTTTGTCCCCGCACTGCTGTAACTGGAGGTACCTACCTCGATACTATAGTTTTTACTCAACAGTAATCTCGTATTGTAATAAAATATCGTCATTACATGTATGTATATTAAGAATCAAATTTCCTTAATAGTCTGTCGGCCTAATAAACTAATAGAGTACCTACGTTGTATAAATATTTAAATAACTAAGGCTGACTCCTCAAGGTACGACTTGATATGTAAAATGTGTGTAAAATACGTGTCTAACATAGCAGTTCGTTGAAATAGTTGTAATAAAAACCAATAGTGATGCCGTAAATAAAATTAATGTTTCTTACCTTTTTTTTTTGTCGAAAATTAAATTAAATTACTAAATCGTATCACATCGAGTCGTTCCGTGAGAGATCGTGGTACCTAACTTTACCAAAAGTGAAGTGTTCATAATATAAACAGTTGATATATTTAAATATAGGTCAAACAAAGTATAACTTTAAATTAAATAAAATCATTCCATTATCTTCTACTATATGTAAATCTTTAATATAATTTTTTATCACAATATATTTTTTTTTCTTAATACTTACCCTCTTATTTATAAAAATGTCAAACGTCTAATGAACCTATTTTAGCTATTGAACTGTTTTGTCTCTCTCCTTTATGCTACATTCCCAATTGGAAAGAAAGTGACAAAATAGTTTAAAAGCTCAAACAGGTTCGTAGTAGGTTTTATTTTTTATGAATAAGGCGGTTAATGTTTACCAATGATTGTTTTCGTTTTGGTCGTCGTATCTTATATTTTGTAATTCGAAAAAAAAAAAGGAAAATTAGATAAAATTTTAAAAATGATAACTGAATGCGTAAAAAGTATTTTTGTATTGTAAAATTTATCGCATGTATATTCTAATTATATACTGTAACTATTACATTCATGGTGAATAAATTAAAATGTAATTTTAGCTGGAATTTTTCTTCTATCCGTACACACGTTTAAACCGAGATTGAGAATAAGTAAGTAATGTTATTATTAAGTAGTTGCTTTTAATTTAAGGGACAGGAAACAATCCTAACGGTATTTCAGAAGTGACTCAACATATTCGTATTAAGTATATAAGTAAAAATTGGAAATAAAAAAAAAATCGTAATCTTTTTTTTTTGTTTTGTACTTTGCGTATCGTGTAAATTCGCCTTAAAATGTCAAGATAAAGTTAGTGTTCGGCTGTTATCTTTATCAGCTGATAGTATATATCTGAATGTGTACAAGGTAGCGCGGGTGATATGGCCCGTTTGTTTCCCGTCCCTACGTGTTGCTTGCTATTGCCTTACGTATGGGATTCGCCATACAGCGTCTCGGTGCCATGCGACTGTCTGAAGTTCTTCCGAAATTTACAGGTGGAGTTGGAGAAATTGAACGCTGCCACAGACGAGATCAACAAATTGGAATTGGAACTTGATGTGAGTTGTTTTTATTCATTTTCATTATAATCGCCAATACTTATTATTCTTTTTATTTTTTTAATAATTGACAAGTTTCTTCGACTAATACTGAGTCTTAAGCAGAGTACTTAAGTCCGTGGTCATAAAATTTAGGTTATACATAGTACCTAAATATTTGGGAAAAGAAAGGCATAGGGTACTTTTTATCCCGGTTTCAGCTATTATCCGGCGCGCGTGAATCAATTCGCGGATAAGACTTGTATTCGGTGAAACAGCGCTTTGCACATTATACAATATCAAATTTATAACTCTATTTATGTTTATACAAATAAATGACTGAATGATTTTTCTGAAATATCGAATACAAGCTTTTACCCGCGTCTTCGCCCACGTGACCCCAATATGTTTACGGACCAGATTTAAAAAATTACCTATATCTTTCTCCGCCTCATATAGTAAGTGTCGGTTATTGTATGCCACTATGTATTATAATAAAATCTGCCGATAAAAAAAGGAATCGTTACATTGATTTCACAATAATGATGATACCTACCATGTACACGACCGATTTATAACCTCCTTTTTAAAATGGATTCAAAAAGTGGGGCGTGCTCTTACCTTTGTTTATCAGATCAATGGATGATGTATGATGAATAGAAAAAGTTCATTGTACTATGTTATCTTGTAAAATATGTGCAAAATAATATTAAATCCATGCGGCGTGTGTGTGGTGTTTTTGTTAAAAAAACTGCTAAATACGAGTCGAACTTGCTCACTGAGGGTTCCGTGAATTATAATTTGAAAAAAAGTGCTTTTGTGATGTAACTACAAGTTTACAATTTTTGGATTTTTCCCTTGTGCTGTGTGGTATTTAGATCAACGGGATGCATCTTATAGTTTCAAATTTCCTTTGAAATACATATAATAAGTCATTGATTGCGTTGACTTAGAAGTTTGATTTATTCACAACTTCAAGGCTTTGCAGACTTAGTACAATATTAATTTCAATTTGATACCTCTACACGTTCCTGAGAAAAGGATTCTTAATAGACGGACAGACAGACGGACAATAGTAATTATATTAGGGCTCCTTTTTTTCCTTTTATGTACGGAATACTAAAATGGGTAAATTTAATAAATTTATAAACACCTGTAGTTATATCCAAACTTAGCACATTTCACTTTATACATTGATTCACGCGAGTGGAGCGGCGAGATACAGCTAGTGTATACAGTGACAACGGCGTAATACGCGTAGAAGTATAAATCATTCACAAGTGATAGCTGGCAAGGTCTCGTGGACGATCAATTTAATATGAAACATCGATCACACTTGGCTGATCATATGTAGGTACTGTGTTGATTGCACCTCTTTTGTTTCTTTTTTTTTTTTTTAATAGCCATTTATTTCTATTGTGCCTATCATTCTTTTGTTTTTTAATTGTAAATTTTACTTTCAAAATATTTTTTTATACAACTTAGAATGGTAAACAAGCTGACGGCCCACCCGATGGAAAGTGGTAACCGTCGCCTATAGACATGAGCAGCACCATGGACATAACAGAGTATACTGTTTCGCCCATGCGTCGCCATTCCTGAGGACTCAGGTGTTATGCCTCTGTACCCAGTAAATTCACGCCATATCCCACCCTTCAAACTGAAACACAGCCATGCAAACAACTGCTTCACGGTTGAAACACGAATAAGATATACGGAAGCTATTCGTTGTTATAATGCAATTATTTAATGTTCACCGTAAAAACTGAGAAATCCATCATAAAACCTAATACATACGCTGTGTAGCATCATCTCAGCCATTATCTGTCCACTGCTGGACATCTCTCTTTAGTCGTACACTCTTGACAGAGTGGTCGTGGTTTTCACAATGACAGTGGATCGTCGATGAGGCTCTCCTTCGTGATTGAAGTCCTCGCAATATGTTTCCGTCTACTTCTGTTCACCGCTGAGCGAGAGCATTCCACAATAGACTGCTGTGTGGCCGTTTTGATGAGGTCAGTCCATCGCGTTGCAAACGTTCTACGCTGCGTTTGCCTGTACGGGGTTGCTACTCAAATACCTTTCGTCCCCATCGGTCGTCGTCGTAAGCCATTAAGATGATATGACGTAACAAACAAACAAACTCGCTTTCACATTTATAATATTAGAATTAATAAGGATATACTTCGTATAGCCCTGTAGGTTCCGGCATGGAATAGGCCACCCTTTACTTTCCCGTGGGTGTTGTAAAAGGCGACTAAAGGGGCTTATGTATATCATATAATTTTTCCCTGACATTCTTTCCATTACTGGTATTTGATTTTGCGGGTAATATCTTTTGACTATTAGAATAAATACATTTATTGTCCCAAAATTGATAAAGGCACGATAGGACTGACGTGCCTAAATAAATCAAGATAAAAAAAAATATGACATGGTCTATTTATGTATTAAATTTCCTGAACTTTTATTCAGCCATTTAACCATAGCGTGAATAACAAACAGTCAAACATTCGTATAGTAGATATAGGAGACAAAGCCATTCAATTTGTACTAAGTAGTCGTAAATACAATAGGGCAATAAAATCTGTCCATCTTTTGCATGCCTTCACAAGGATTATGCTAGTTAATATATTCCGCTGCGCCATCTTTGAGATTGGAGGAAATATGTATGACTCGTACATAATGAGATAAACTTTTACTATACTAGCTTTTCGCTACTTCGTACGGTTACAACCCTGGCATATAGACATATTAATTTTAAAGTAATTTAATTTAATTAAAATAATTTTAGTTTAAATATAAAAAATGATTAGAAGACTGTCATCATTGTTTATTTATTTATTTATTTTGTGATACATAGGTAACAATGGATGGTAAAACAATATAAGTCCTCTATGATCAACCCCATCTATCGAGGTATACTATATATATATATATATATATATATATATATATATATATATATATATATATATATATATATATATAAAATTCAAATTCAAATTCAAAAATCATTTATTCATGTAGGACATTTTAGCCGCTTATGAACGTCAAATTTTTACATTATAATTTTATATTTACCCTACCGTCCAGTTCGGTATATAGATCCAATTGAGAAGAACTGGCAAGAAACTCAATTGAATTACTTTTTTTTTTTTAAAGCCATTTTATTTACAATGTATATTTATATAGGTGTCTATGTCTAACATTAAATGAAAATTCAGTGCATGAACAACTATTGCCATGCACACTCGTCATTCAAGTAATCGTTTAGTGAGTAATAGGCTTTGCTCAGTAAATATGATTTAACAGATGTTTTGAATTTATTTAAGGGTAATTCCAACATATCCTTTGGTATCTTATTGTAAATTTTTATACCTATTCCCATAAAAGACCTATTAACTTTTTCTAAACGATACTTGGGGACAGCAAGTTTGTCTTTAAATCTAGTATTAATATTATGAATATTGCTGTTTTTTGGAAATAAGTCAAGATTTTTATGAACATATAGAATATTTGAATATATAAATTGAGAAGCAACGGTGAGAATATTTGCCTCTTTGAATTTCTCTCTTAATGAGTCACGACTCTTCATACAGTAGATCGCTCGAACGGCACGTTTTTGTAATATGAATATATTCTTAATATCTGCCGCTTTTCCCCATAGTAATATTCCATAAGAGAGTAAACTATGAAAATAACTAAAATAGACTAATCTAGCAGTATCAGTATCAGTGTACTGTCTAACTTTACGCACGGCAAAAGCTGCTGAACTTAGTTTCGCTGCAAGGCTTTGAATTTGTGCACCCCATTGTGTTTTATTATCTAGTGTGATTCCTAGAAAGACAGTAGATTCTATAAATTCGAGAGATTCGTCATTTAATTTAATATTGCAATTAGTATTAAAACTTTTAGATAGAGAGAAATTAACACATTTTGTTTTTTTAGCGTTTAACATAAGATTGTTAGTTGTAAACCAGTGCAGGAGACGCCGCAAAGCACTATTTACATCGTCATAATTATTAGTCATTCTATTAACTTTAAAAATCAATGAAGTATCGTCTGCAAACAATACTATGCCGCATCTATCCTGCATGGCATATGGGAGATCATTAATGTAAACTAGGAATAAAAATGGACCGAGAATAGATCCTTGAGGTACACCCATTTGCACAAGTGACCCGTCAGACGTAGCGTTGCTAATCTTCACTTTCTGTATTCTATCAGATAGATAAGATTTTATTAAATTTAAAGCATTGTCTTTGACGCCATAAAAAGCAAGTTTTTTTAGCAATGTATTATGATCAACGCAATCAAAAGCCTTAGAAAGGTCACAAAAAACACCTATCACATCCATTTTAGTTTCCCATGCAGCAAATACGTGTCTAAGCAACTCTGCACCTGCGTCTGTAGTTGAACGACCTTTGGAAAAACCGAATTGACTATTGTGGATTAAATTATTTAAATTGAAATAACTGACAAGTTGCATAAGGATTATTTTTTCAAAAATTTTACTGAGTGCTGGGAGTATGGATATAGGTCTATAATTTATTGGGTCACTCCTATCTCCAGATTTAAAAAGCGGTATGATTTTACTAATTTTCATTATGTTAGGAAATTTACCTTCATCTATACATTTATTGAAAATAAAAGCAAGAGAGGGCGCAATAATTTCCATTATACTATCCAGTATTTTAACAGATATACCCCATAGATCCTCTGTTTTTTTATTATTAAGTTGTTTGAATATTTTCATTATTTCTACTGATGATGTATGTCTAAAGTTAAATACAGCTGATGACTTGCTAACATTGTCTGTTAGTAAAGTTTCAGCAGCAGACGGGGAAGATTTTAGAGCCTGTGTCGTAATTAATGGAATATTAGTAAAATAAGATTCGAATGTATGCGCGACCTCTGTGTCGGAATTTACCAATTTGTTATTAATATTTAAAGCTATTTTGCTATTTTGAAAATTAACTTTTCCAGTTTCGCTATTTATTACTTTCCAAGTGGCTTTT